TTAAATCACATTGGCTTCTGAAATAAATTATTTACGATAGAGCGACTATAAAAATTTTTGTTACTTGGCGGTGTTGAGCTTGATTATTAAGGAAATTTATTTTAAATATAAAAATATAAGCATCGATCAAGTGCTTCGGCGCTGAAATTTTAAAAAATTTTTAAAGCGGAGATTAATTCGGCCTGTGAACGGCTTATATGTACACTAGCCTTCAAAAGTTTAATCGCATTCGATAAAATACGGTAAAGGTGAAAGTAACTATAGAGAATGATAAATTTCACTCTATCAAGCTCGATGCAAAACTTTAAATTTGATAAACAGAATTGAAAACTGATCGACTTCAAATGAGATTTAATTGGAACGAATTGAATTTCATCGCACTTTTGGTAGCGTATACGTTGTCAATGTAAACGCCAGAAGTATTATTATAAATATGAAAAATACGTAATAGCGAGGCAATAATTTGAACTCAATCTCTGTCTGCTGTATTGCAATGGCTCTAAGTAAATACGACAGATAACAATCAACAGATAACAAGCTTTAACGAACACCGCGACTCCCTTGAAAGGAATATATTGATCTACATAGAACAGCAGAGGCTTATCGGGCAAATATACAGTTTTAGCTCGCTACTGCTCTCTCACAGATAAAAGAGTATTATTCTGCATGATCACAGAACGACTTGCATAGTAAAAAGGGAAGCACTCGAACGACCTCCTCTTTCTGGTGTTTATAAAATAAAATTGCCGCGTCTTAGAGAGCCGTGCGAAACGACTGAACGTTTGGGAAACAGTATCAAAACTCGCTACGACCTTCGGTAGATTTTGTTTACACCTCGGAAACAGTTTTCTTTTACATTTATTTAAGAATTAATTGTTTGATAGAAATGAAGCTATTTTTCATAAAAATATTAGAACGTGATGGATATCGCGAGATACATGAAATATTGTACGACATAAACATATCTAAACGGGTCCGGTGACATGTCAGTTGCGTAATTATTTCAGCGACGGTAGTGCGAGTTATTCCGAATATTGAACTATACACTTAGCAAAAAAGGAATTTTAAAGCTGTAGATATTACAGTAACGCACAGATTACAGAACAATAATAAGTTTACTTGAATTAGATTTCTGAAGGGAAACCTGTTATAGTTAAGAAATTGAAAAATAAATGAAAGGATACAATTGCGACGAGACGATAGTTAACCTCAAAAAAAGCGTTTAGATAGAAACTGTGGAAATGAATGTTTCAAGAAGCCTGAAACGGTGGAAGATAATAATAGATCATCGCAAATTACGTTAGAAACGTTTCAAATCTTCAAATCGTTATTAAATATGGATCCTATTTAATTTGTAATAAATGATTAAAAGAAACGCCGTATTTTCTGTCGTAACTGTTGTCAGCAATGTGTTTTGCACACGTCCGAGTTACAAATACAAACAATTCTATAAACGACGGCAGACTGGATTTAATAAACTTCTTCAAATTTCCTTCGTCACGATTTATATTGAAATCGTTTCGAAGAAAATTAAAAATATTCTTGCAACGGCCATGTTTCTTAGACGTGTCAACAATCACGTTCGAACGGTGGATAACGAAGATCGGATATTACCAGACCGAATTACTTTCGTTTATCCGATGGTATTACACGCGTGAATGCAATCAGGAGTTGAAACTTGAATGATCTTACCGGCTGATTTATGCAGGAAGTTTTACAATGCGACGAGGCACTCTATGATGTCGTTGCTGCTTTGTAGCAATTCCAGGCTGCTGCTCTCTGTCGTGTCAGTTTGGACGTTGGTAAAACAACACGGTAAAACGTGACCGACGATAGGTGCAATAACGAGAATAATGAACCGGCTCGGTTTTCCGCAGTTTTCAAGAGGCACCCACCTTTTTTCACAACACACGACCGAATTCTAGTCTCAGTGACACTTGATCTCTCCACTCTTCTCGTCTATCCCCTCCGCTATCCTTTACGTGCAAGCATAATTTACCGACGATCCAGCTAACGTGAAACGCCCACGCGTCCTGTGAACGACCAACGGAAACACGATTATATTATTCTCGCAATTTCGAGATTTTTCATAGGGATACGTGGTGGCGGCAACGACCGTGGTCAGGGTAACGAGAAACAGACCACAGGAGTGTTCGCATCGATGACAAGAGAGACGCGGACAATCTTTTACACCCGACGCTTCGACATTCCGACGACGATTGCCAGTCCCGCGCGAAAGAAGGGAAGAGAACGAGAAAAGGTTAGAAGAGAATTGAACATTCGTAGAAATGTTCTTTTTTCTCGAATTGTTTCGCTAACACTGCGCACTAAACAAGCTCGCCGGTATTCCTTTTTCTTCCAATTTTCCTTCGGGGATATCGAATGACTCGCAGCGAACCAAGCACGCGACTCGAGAAGCACACTTCACTAGATTTCCTTTAACTCCCTTTTTCCGCCTCTTCTTCCCTTCTTCTTTTCCACGATGGGTTCTCTGGTTCGTTCACTTTTTGCCGTTTCGAGAACGGTTACAAGTCCCAGCAGCAATTAGCTTCGCGCTCGGACGTCCGCCGGGAAGCGTACCAGTATCGTGCCCTTTAAGCCTCTATACTGTACTATGCTGCGACTTAGACGCGCTCTACCTGTAAGTTCTCTCTTCCTCTATCTGTCTCCCACTTTCTCTCTCTTCTTTTCCCCTTCCCACCAACTCGCCCTTTCTCTCGCCCTCTCTCTGTTTCTCACTGTGCTTCGTCTCTAAAGGAACGTTAATAATAATAACGTCGCCGACGATTGTCCCTAGAACGTCCTGACGCGTCTCGTTTCTCTCTGTCCCTGTGAACGAGCGTGCGTACTCGGTTCTCGAGACGATCACGACGAGGACACACGAGACAACCTCTTTCTTCCTTTCTGCGTCTGTATCGGTTTTTTCCCCCTGGCGGATCGAAACTGTGAGTATTTCCATGCGTACAGAGATCGATGACGTTGAGAACGGAAAAGATCGAACCACAGACCTGCCCCTGATTCTCAAGCAGGAGAGAGAGAGAGAGAGAGAAAGAGGGAGGGGGGAGAAGGAGGAAGAAAGAGCGTGTGTGTGTGTGTGCGTGCAGAGAGAGGGAGAGGGGAGGGGAAGTGCGAGCGATATTTGAACACATACACAAAAAAGAAATCGAGTAACTAAGCGGAAAAAAGTAAATACGTTCGAAAGCTCGACAGAGGGCACGAGGAAAAAGGGGGAAGATGCGAACGAACGGGAACAGACGAAAACAAGGAAAGACAGAGAGAGGGAACGACGAGGACAAGGGCGAGGGGGGAGAGGAAAGAAAAGACGTAGAGAACAAAATACGAAGAGGAGAGAGAGAGATAGAGAAAACGCGACCAGATGCACAAGGGCAATTTAAAAAGGAATCTCTACGGGCCTGTACGCAACTCTATCGGACGCGTGTTTTTCGTACCACGTACGAGTGCGGCGGAGCTACTACACCCCCGTGCCCCGTTCTCCCGTTACCGCTGTTCCCCCCCTCGGCCGTCCCACCCACAGCTTTACGCTGCTTCCACCACTTCTACGACCCACCACTATTCCATCCTCCACCGCATCCACCACCGACGGCGCTGCCGCTACGTTAACCGTTCTCTTCCTTCGCCTTGTTTTCCTTCGTCTTCCTCTCCTTTCACCGCCCGTTTTTTGCTACGTGCGCATCGACGTTTCAACCGTTACGCGTCGTACTCGTGCCACGAACTGCCACACGGAGTATGCACGACTTCTTGGCGGGAAAGTTGCCAGACTCGGGCGAGTGGAGAAATTAATTGTTTACTAATGACACTAAGATTATTGATTATCGAGGACAACGGTATTAAAACGTTCGTAGCTATTGCGCGTTTCTTGTATCTCCTTTTTGCCTTAGAATGGGTATACGATGATCGGAGTGCGGTTTTCGATATTAAACCAGCGACCGATTACTTTCACGTTAAAGCTGATTTTTTTGTTCAAGCATATAAAGGCTATTCCACAACCACATTTCTTTAGATACTGTTTTCTTTTGTAAAAGAATTATAATCGGTGACTTTTGCGAGTGTACGTTTCTAAATGTATAGATAAAGAATGGTTTTATTCTAGGAAATGAATTTTAGAAATTAATAAATACTTTTTGAAAGTAATTTACTTTTATTTCGAATTCTGGAATATGAATGTAAGTACTTACTCTTATAGTTTTCTTAGCATTTTATATCTTAAAAGCTTTCAAATATTTGACAGACTAGCGCAACATTTCGTATATATCCAATATAAGAAGATATTATACAGTATGTAACAAAAGTTGGTAATTTATTGTGGTGGAATAGAGAACAGTAAAAAAAGAGAGTGTGATACTACCCTGACCTTCTTTCTTGTGGGATTACCTGAAAGGGACTGCCTACAAGAACAATCCTCGTACTCTTGTTGATGTAAAGCGATCTTGATGATCTATTCAAGAAACAGAAAACCACCGTTGGAACACTTCGTGTGTCCCGAAACGTGGCCGAAATGATAATAGGTTCTTCTCAGTTTTGTGACAAAAGAGCGTTTTATCTAATATTTTCGATTTTAGAGAATACATTACTGAATTGAATTTTATCATTTTTAATAATATCAATAACAAATATAGGTTCACTTTTATTTTCAAAATAACAATTCCACAAATCTGAAAAAGGTAACAAAAAACGTATTACAATAATGTTAAACATAATACTTGGTAAATTTGTTAAACTCCTTTGTTTCTAATTATTTCAAATATTCTATGCAGTATTAAATCTATTAATTTATGAATTACCTCCAAATCAATTTGCGCCCACGCCTCTTTGACGCCATTTTTTAATTCCTTGACACTGAGATATTGTTTTACAAGTGCAACACTATTACACAAAACGAGCTAAAAAGCCTGTGCTAACAAAGTTCCACAAAGACGAAAGGTTAAAATTTGCACAGAAACACTAAAAAATGGAAGGCAGCAATTTTTTCTGACGGGAAAAAGTTTAATTTGGACGGCCCAAGCGGGTTTCAGTACTACTGGCACGATCTACGTGATCCAAAGGAAGTTAAAACGAGCAGAAATCATGGGGGAGGCTGTGTCATGATTTGGGCTGCGTTCGGATATGATGGGACAATTCCGGTAATGTGGTTTCCGCCGAAGGCGAATGCCAAAATATACAAAGAACTATTGGAATATGTGTTTGACCAATATGGCGACGGAATTGCTGGATTTAACATTCCAACATGATAATGCCTCCTATTCACCGTGCGAAAATTGTTAAAAACTGGCTTCAAACGGTGAATGTCGAGGTCAATAGAGAATCTATGGGAAATTTTAGCAAGAAAAGTGTATGCCAATGGAAAACAATATCTCAATTTCACGGAATTAAAAAATGGCGTCAAAGAGGCGCGGGCATAAACTGATTTGTCGATATTTCATAAATTAATAGATTCAATGCTGCGTAGAATATTTGAAATAATTAAAAACAAAGGAGGGTCGATAAAATATGAAGTTTAACATTATTGTAATACATTTTTTGTTATTTTTTTGAACTTTAATTGAATTTTTATTGTAAAAATATAAGTGAGCCTGTATTTATTTCACATTAGAGTTTCAGTGTTTGTAATAAGAAAGTTGTTATCAATATTATTAACAATTTAAAATTCAATTCAAGGTTGTGCTGAATAAAATCGAAAATATTAGATAAAGCGCTTTTTTATGTCACAAAACTGAGGTGAACCTATTATTATTTCGGTACATACAGGGTAGACAACATAATTTAATCACCTTAATTATTTTCGTTACTACTGGACCAATAAAAATTTGTTTTCTTAGCCTAAAAGCTGATTGCAGTAGATGTTCTGTACACCATTTTCTTCAAAGTTATCTACAATCTTTTTCTGCCTGTGTTTTAGCAGACAAAAAAACAAATACGACAAGCACAGAAACATACTTTTTTTTTTTTGTCATCAGAACAGGAGAAATGGTGGAAAAATGTATTTCAGAGGAAAAATAGAAACTCACCTAAATAGTTACAGAATGTGTGCGACGGATCATTTCTATTCGAAAATCGTTCCGCGTATGACCTGCATTTCCATTCTTTTCTCATTACTGTAAGGATCCATCCATGATTACAACTGCCATTTCGAAAGATCGCTGACTTACGTTTCCGGAAGCCATTGCTAGTGCATACGAAACATTTCAATGTTTATAAACGTTATGCGAAAGGTCAAACGAATTTGATCGCACAACAACGCCACGTTTGTGTATGGCAGAGTGCATGTTTTTTCTAAAATACAGTTTTCCGCTATTTTTCCTGTTCTAATGACAAAAAAAGTATGTTGCGGTGCTTGCCGCATTTGTCTTTTTGTCTGCTAAAACATAGGCGGAAAAAAATTGTAGCGTTCCATTTCAAAAACTAAAGGTGACCTTGTTAAATTTGAAAAAAAAAAAAAAAAATACAGTGATCTACAAAACATATATTGCAATCAGCATGTATGCATCTCTAAACCAAGATGTTTAACAGAAAAAGAATTTTCACTGGTTCAGTAGGGTGGACTTGTGCCTTCAAGAAAATGGTGGACACTTCCAGCATCTGCTGTGAAAGAATCTTTCTCAGGTGCACTATTTTAAATATATTTATTTAATCCTTTATGAGCAATCTGGGTCTTTGAAGACCCAAGTGAAATTTCACTCCCGTATCACTTCGAAACGAATTTTTATTTTTATTGAAAACAGTTCTAAACGTTTAACTCGAACAATTGTATAATGTAT